ACTTCATCCATTTAATTGTTTGTGCTTAAATAGATGGCGCAAAACGCAAGCCCAAGAGACGTCATACCACGAGTGCTTCCAGGGCCTTTGCCAACGACCAACAGGTGTGGAAAAAGGAACATTCTTTTTGCTGTGTTTAAGACTATATGTAGAGAATAAAGTATAATTAGTTGTTAGACATTAAAAAAGTCTTGTGCCTTTAACATATAATTGTTTCGAGTACGTTTCGTAAATGTTTCAATTTGCTATTTTGCAGACGTCATGATATAAATCGCTTATCAACGGCACAACCAAGAGGTATGAAGTTTGATTTTTTAAACTAAACCTGCGGCAAGTAACATTCATCAACATTGCATGTTGATTCACTGGCCCCGAGACTGGCAGAATGGTGACACAGATGCCCTTATATCTTTTAGTAAAAATGTATTGTTTAATCATGAGTTTGGACACATTAATATTTTCGAAATGTTGTATTTCACAAACTATAGATATATTCAAAACAGTGTACCTGAACCATTGAAAGATGCTATTGTATACGATAAAGAATATGCCTTAGTTGTTTGTAAGAACTAGGGATGCTAGCTTATGCCATGGAGCTCGGTATTTCTAATATGGATATAGCTACTTGTGGTAGAAATCTGTTCATTCTAGTGGTAAGAAGTAATATCTATGATATAAAAATGGTTGATAGTACCTTGAAAGTTGACTTTAACCACAAAAATGAACAATCATGCCGAATAAATGGCCCATGTTACCACGACACATTATACTTTCCACTATCGCAACAGTCACTTGCACAACGATTATGGACTTTGCACCAGGACAGCGGTCACATGTACCACGACTCCTAGTGTTTTTTACCATAAAAATGGTCACTTGTACCACGAAAATGGTAGTTTGTGCCATGAAAATGGTCACTTGTAACAAGTGTTACAGACAGACAGACGGACAAATAGACACAGGTGAATTATGGTTTCTAGACCTTAGTCTTTCAGTCTAGGGAATATTTGATATCCTGCAATAAAATTCTAGAATGAATACGTGCAACAGAGATTCTAAGTTTCTTCGATTTAGCTGACGATTCGGCAAGAAAAATTCAAAATGCTTTTCGGAATTATCGAGCACAACAGACACTACAGAAAAAATTAACATGGGAAATATATGAAAAACTTGAGTATTCAAGTGAACAAACTGAATTTCGAGTAATAGAATTTCTTCTTCGAATGCTATGAATCCATTAGGCTCGTGTTTATTTCCTAGTTGCGACGTCTGTTTGAAAAATTAATTAACCAACCCGAGTCGCTTTCACCATCTGTTGCAAAAATACTTCAAAGCTCCAGATTACCTGTTGGTAATGTATTCACTAAATCGTTAATAGAACATGAATGAATACGAACTCTTTTTTGTATAGCTGAACGAGAACTTTTGCAATCAACAGATCCTGATCAAATCGCAGTTGAAAATACGTATCACGGGCCACGTAAATAATTTTTTTTTTTTTCAAATACAAATTATTTACTTGTAGTTTTTGCTCTGCAGACATCAAAGACCTGATAACCAGAGAAACATTGATAGATTTAATTGAAGCATTTCGAAAAGGCCAAGTAAGAATCGGACTTAGAAATACCCTCCGAGAATTAAGATCTAAAGCACAATAAAATCTGAGGAAATGAGAATAATTTGTATTGTTATTTATGAATAGCTTTTGCATGAACGATTTGTTTGCAAAATTCTTCATCAAGCACGTGATATACTTAAAGCATTACCCAATAGTAATGAGATCAATCTTTCACAGTTGCATCACGTATATATTGTCGGCGATCTACATGGACAACTTGCTGATTTATTGCATATTTTCAATCAAGTATATAAAATATTTTGCGTGAATTTCTTTTATTTTTCCTTCGTGTTAAATATCAATAGAATGGACTACCTGCAACTGATAATCCATATTTATTCAATGGAGATTTCGTTGATCGAGGTGCAAATTCAGTTGAAGTATTTCTTTTACTCATGGTTGCTTTAATCACGAGTCCAAGTTCAGTATTCCTCAATCGAGGTATTAATTTAAAATTGATTCGTCTAATTCACTCACATAAAATGTTATTTTTTTCTTTAAGGTAATCACGAAGATTTTTTGGTCAACCTTCAGTTCGGTTTTGCACAAGAAGTTACAAAAAAATACAGCGTTAGTTGAATATTCATAAAAACAAAAGCAATGATCTGTATTAAAACTCTACATAGAACCTAGAAGGACCATTGCTCAATCTATTTAAAGACATATTTAGTTGGCTACCACTTTATTCAATTGTAAACACAGGAAAATCCGAAATTTTCGTCGTACACGGAGGAATATCCGATCGAGTCCATTTAAGAGAAATCAACGCTTTTGCAAGAAATCGATGTAAGACGGAAATCGCACTCCATCAAATTTACTATTATCATTTCTTAGATGTCACCCTTCGGTTTCCTCCTACACCTAAAGAAGCAGGTGCTCGATTAACGCAGGAAGAAGAGTATGAATATAATCAATTGCAGGGTAGTACTATTATCCAACAGAAAGAATTTCTATATTGAATAGAAAATACATTTAGATCTACTTTGGAGTGATCCAGATCCTTGCCATTACCTAGGTTGCCGAAAGAATCAGTATAGAGGTAGCGGTTACTATTTCGGGAAAGACGTTACGGAAAAGTTTCTACAAAAACGCAGTTATGCAGCGATTATACGCTCACATCAAGTTAAAGAAAAAGGTTATGAACTTCAGCATGGTGGCAAGCTGATAACTATTTTTAGTGCATCAAATTATCAAGGTCATTCGAATTTTGGAGCTGTTTTACAATGGTTTGAATTTAGCTACGATTTCATTTTGAATTTTATGCATTGTATTTATCCTAGGAATCATAATGCTACTCAACCATGGATTAAATCATACAAAGCTCAATCTATTGACATGAATAAACTAAGCTTTAATAAACGGTAAGTGCAGTAAAATCGTTGAACATCTGCTATTTTTTTACTTTTAGAGTAACACTCTTAGAAGATCCAGCTTATCAATCAATAATAGAAAAAATTTTTGAAAATAAGACTTCACTTCAAAGAGAATTTGCAAATGCAGATCCTACTCAAACTGGTATTTCATCTTTAATCGTACGTCGTTTATAATCGATAATATTCTTAAGCTTGATTCAGGTCATATACCTCCGATAGTTTGGGCACATATAATGACGAAAGTACTTCAAATTGAATTACCTTGGCTCACATTATGTTCAAGACTCGTAAAAGAAGATCTACAGGGAATCTTCTATGATTCACTGTTCGAAGGATACAGTATCCAGAGTGCGAGATTTCAAATAGTATGAATAGGAACAAACCAGATCAAATAATGTTTTTTATTTGTATTACTTTCTAGAATATACCAGGTATTATGGAAGATTTGTATTCTTTGAAAGATATGCTTACGGCGTTATTCAATTTAATTGATCAAAACCATTCAGGTTGACTTTACCTTCATTTGATGTATGTAGAAAATAGAGATATTTTTGTAGGCTTCATCAATCGTAACGAACTCGCCGAAATTATAAAACTTTTATTCAATGATGATCATCCCGGTCAAGTGACTGATGCATTTATTGATGAAATCTGTTCGGCTATGGATATCAATAAGGATGGCGCCATTGATATTAATGAATTTCTTGGTAAAATGTTTGCAAATGAAATCATTTTTAATTAAACAATTTTTTCTTTCTTCTAGAGAGTTTTCGTCTTGTTCGTATGAAACCTTCAGAACTTCAAGTAAGACCAAGACTGCTACACAGAAATTTGCCAAGAAATCAACCGGCCAATAAACCGGAATAATATTCAATCTTCAATCCCATCTTAAATGCATTAAACATAGTCGAATCTAACTTTTTCACCTTTTTTTAATATTTTCTTTTCATTAATAAATACAGAACAATCATGAATCGAGACAAAGTTACCTTTTGGTGTCGCCTGTTTACATATCAAAACATACACGCGAAGTATTACCTGATCAAACACCATGGTTGAAATAAAAGTAATTTTCTTCTAAAACGTTTCAAAAGCATCCATAAATTGTCACGGATTTGATTCTAAAGAACCCACCAGAAATAAAATGCCAAAAATATCAAAGACTTCCCATGTAAAAATAAAAAGGCATTTAACGAAATGATTCTTGAAATTAACACAAAAAAATGCGTTAAAAGACAAACTAACGAAATTTCACGAAGAAAATTTTATGAACTTTCGTTATATTCCGAAAACTCGTGTAAACGCGTTAGATTTTTCACGCTTTTTAACGCGTGATTGTCGTTTTAACTATAACTAACTCATTATATATCGTTAAACGTTGCATTCATTTCCACACGTTAAGAAGTTTAACGATATTTCTTGAGTTTTTTTATTTTTAACCAATCTTACCACGTTAAATATCGTTAAACTTGGTATTCATTTTCATGCGTTAAGCATATTAACGCGTTTTCATGCATTTCTGTATTTTTCACGAAACTTAACTGATTGATTCTCGTTAAATCTAATAACTGTTTTCACGAGAGAAATATTTTAACGAGTTTTAATGAAAATCTTAATTGTTAATGAGCGTCATTTAGTTATTCATCATTGAATCTATTAATTGTTTTCACGCGTACAATATTCATGATTTTTTGTGTAACAATTTGTTTATGCACATTACACAAAAATCATTTTGAAAGACTTATATTTACGAAATATCAAGTGTATCTGTGGACTATATCAATCCAGATATCAAAAGCTTTTTATCAGATTAGGCAGCACTTTGGAGAAATCTCTACTTTGTATTAATGGCTAGCAAAACTACTTGAATTAATCCTAGACAAAGATAATCCTCTTTCAGTTTTTATTTAAAATTTGCTATGGGTTTTATATCAAAGGAATGTAATTCTATACTTCGTACATCATCATCATTTCTGCTTCACATAATAAAAAAAAGTTTAGCGAAATAATTGCTCCAGGGTGTGGGTGTGGGTGTGGCTATGACTGTTTTTACAGTCACTCACTTCGAGATTACACATACCAACACCCACACCCCACCCTACTTTGTCTTAGATTTCTAGTAGAAACATTGATCAGGTCGGCTAATTCTTATGTTATTTAAATCTAGTTTTCTTATGTAAAAAATATGTTCTTTACTTTTTCTCGTTCGCATTTCCCAAACTGAGATTCAATATATTTTCACTTGTTCGACTTATTTCATCAAAAGTTTTTTCCCATCCAGCGAAGAAGCTAAAAAGATTCAAAGAAAACTTAATATTCAACTTAAACGATAGATAAAAACAGCATCCACATAAGCAAAAACTTTACAAAACAAATGAAATAATGAAGAAATCAGATCGAAATTGTTTGTAATCGCAACAAGTTCTCAGTTAATAGAAACAAACCCAAATAACATCTTCCAAAACTCGCACTAGCTGAAATTCCTACCCAAAATGAACCTATACTAGTCACGTTACTTCTGTAGTTTTATTTAAACAAAGATTTTTTTTGTACTGTACTTTCTTTCTTTTCCATATCTTAATTCACCCACCAACAGGATTAAGAGCAAATATGGGGGGTGCAAAAAATGACGAAATTGAGGTAGTAAATGTTTTTCTAGATGCTCTAGAATTCTTTATTCTATTTAGCAAAGTTAATTACGAATTATAAATTAAACCAGTAAAAAATTAATAATGTCTAAATATATTATTAATAAAAACAATTACAACTATTTTTACCTAAAATAAGAGAAAACTTTCCTAATTACACTATACATAGACATTGCCTAATCAAACTTTAATATTTTTTAAATCTGCCTGATTGATTGCAAAATAAAACAGAGACCCTCATTCTCCTTTCTGCTCTCTCATATCCTTATCTGCGCTTTGTCAAACTGATACTCACCAGATTATATCTTCAAGGCAATTGTATTGAAGACAAAGTAGCACAAAATCTGGCGAATGCATTACGAAATAACCGGGTTACTCTTCTTCTCTCTGCATCTCTCTGACATCCTCATCGGTGCTATTTCACACAGACACTCACCACACTCAATCTCTACCACAATCACATGACTGAGAAAGGAATAAAACATCTGGCCCGTGCATTACGACATAACACGATGACCTTCACTCTCTCTTTATCTCTCTCATATTCCCATCTGCATTTTTTCAAACAGACACTCACCGAACTAAATACTTTAGGCATTCAAATCGGAACCGAGCTTCAATATCGTTTGGAGAAATTGATTGAACGGAATAAGCAGAGAAAAAGAAAAATGAACATCTATGTGGAGAGTGATTTGTGAAAAATGTTGGAATGACTTATAGAACGATTGATTGTGTGTCGAGTATGATATTTTAGTGTTTGAAACTTAAATAAAGCTTTTTGATTTTCACATTAGCACTCCAGTTAAAGAGAAGATACTGCTACAGTTTTTGAACTTTAATTTTTCGGAGATATTTGAATAGCCGTATGTGCGTTGTGGATGTTCTGAGCACTGATTTGTTTATATGTGTTTGGTGCACATCCACATAAATATTGTAGTAACACTATCATCAGTGGAGTTTCGTCGTGTACTAATCAATAGGTTAGAGAAGTTCTTTTTCTTGCGAAAGTGAATGTAATTCTAGCACATCTATCAATCTTTTTGTTTACTTGAATTTAATCATTGCTAATGAAAAATATAGAAGATGATGATGTATTATGCTGACGTTTAATGTTGAAATGTGAACATCAAATTCGATGGTGCCAATTTGAGAAAACATTCTATGCAGAGTACCTGATATTTTTTGCAGATTGTATAACGCTTGATGATTTAATTATTGTAACGTATTGATTATCAGTAGAATAATTGCATTCTTTTTATCGAATATTGAGATATGCACATATGATAATGAGCTACTGTCGAGATGGATAGATTTACTAGGGTGTG